CAGTTCTGTTCATTTTGATTTATCAATGACGCAAGAGATTCGCGGAATCCCAGAGCATCATCGTTCCATGATTGCTCCGTCAATTTTCGCTGCAAAGTTTGGCCAAGTTGATTCCGCAAGATCGTTCTTCACAGATGGATCACTAATAGAGGCGTCCGCTGGTTTTGGTATTTATAACGAATTTCATAGCGTCTCTCGAATGCTTCATGCTCCTTGTTCCGTATATGTTGCTGAACTGGCGGCAATACATTATACGATAGAAACGATCGCCTCACTTGCACCAGATCATTATTTTATTTTTACGGATAGTCTCAGTTCTGTCGAGGCTATTCGCTCCATGAGGCCGGTAAAGCACTCCTCGTATTTTCTCATGAAAATACGAGAGCTTCTAAGTGCTTTATCTTTAAGATCTTTTGTCATCACCTTTGCACTCGCTTGCAAAGGTGGGCGCTATGGAAGGCGATATTTACGATCGACAAATCGCCTACGACGAATTTTTCTTCATTTATCGTCAACAGTCACTCGCCAGCTGGCAAAATAAATGGAGTGAAGGGAGTTTGGGACGATGGTTGTATTCAATTATTCCTAAGGTGTCGAAGTGTCCTTGGTTCAAAGGTTTGGAGGTGGGTCGAGACTTCATTCGTGTGATGTCTCGCCTCATGTCCAATCACTATTCACTAAGCGCTCACTTGTTCCGTGTTGGGCTGGGGGACAGTAATCTCTGTGAATGTGGACAAGGTTACCAGGACGCAGATCACATTATTTGGTCATGTGCTGAGCACCGTGGAGTCAGATCCGAGTTGTACGATTCCCTTCGGGCTCGAGGTAGACAACCTAATGTTCCAGTTCGGGATATTTTGGCTAGACGCGATCTGGAGTTTATGCAACTCATATATGTTTTCTTGAAGAATATTAACCATAGATTGTAAGTTTGATTAACCTTGTGTTTAGTTTGTGTTTTGTATGTGTGTGTGTATTTTTTTTTTGTAGATTTGTTTCTGTAATAATTGTATAATTACAGAGTTGATATAACGTCGATAGGATTAAGTATTTGTTTTAGAAATAGTGAAATTTTTGAATCATAAATCATATTCCAAATCTCCTTTTCCCTCTCCCGATCCAAACAATTGTCATCCACTAACCTCGAGAAGACCGCGAGTAATCGGTTCCAATCCTTTAATTTTAGATTTAAGACATTTATAATGTATAAAGAAAATGATAACTTGGCTCTGTAAAGTTTATTCGAATGAGCCTGTACAAATAAAGTAATTAACAAAAAAAAAACATCCACATCGCCTCGTCCTGTTGGCATCAACCTACCAAAACAAACAGCTCTTTGCATGAGATTTCACTTACCGAACAATTCTTCGAAATCATAGCAGCTCTCCAACTTTAGTGCTTCAATAATGGACTACAGATCCGAATCCATTTTACCAGGAAATAAATAAATAAAACTCACAAATCACAAATCAAACCAACTTTCTGTCGCGTGTTGTACTTCGCTGATGAGTGACTTCTATTTGGCAGATAAACATTATTACTGGGTTTTCAGTAAAATGTTTAACATTTGCTGGATTTCATCAAAAAAAGTATATTGCTGTTTACAACCAGCAAATCGCTTTGCTGGAACGAAAGACGAAATGTTGGTGTGTATATAATTGATAACACGAGCTCTCAGCCTCCACGTTTTCATAGTACCAAGTCTTCTCAACAGTTGATTCAAATACAGCTTTTGATATCAAAACATCCAAATACCAAACAGCGTTCTCAACTCATATTTTGTACAGAATTATAGTGATTTCGTTTATAATCGGGGTTGGAACCACTTCCAACCCAGTGCGAAGAAACCGAACTTTTTGTCAGTGTGAACCTCAACCTGAGGTAGGTTTTAAAAACAAACGATCAAAATGACATTTGTCAGAACAAAAGCAGACCCAATCTTGATACCCCATCCAGATTGGAACTGAATAATAAACGAATTCACTATTAGCAACCGGTGGAAACTAATGATTTTAAATTGGCTCACCACTTGACAAGCCTATAAATTCCAAGCAAATTGATTAACGTATCCCATTCTAGTCAAAATTCTAGTACTGCACTATGTTTGTTTTGATTCGCTATGAAAGTTTGGCAGATAAAATGAGGGGTTCGTGGATTTTCCTATGTTTCGAGGAGTGCATCGATTAGCTTGGGACCGAAGATAGTACCAGAGCTGAGCCAAAAAGTTGAGCACGTTTCTTCGGGACCTTCTGGTTTTAGAGTTACCTCTATGCTATTAGTCTCTATTACCACGACATTGTATAGCTCGATTTGGATCTACTGAAGGAATGTTAAGATTCCTTCCCAACCGATGTTTACTGATGGCAGATTCTTTGGCCACTATAAAAGGAAACAATATTGAATCCCATGAGCATAAATTTTGTATTTTTTCACTTACTCACCCATTCAAATCCGGTAGAATGATTCCATCAGTTTGTTATTTTCCATAGTCTATACGATAGATAAATACGACACGTTTTCTGATCTGTAATATTGAATATGCTTTCAAATCATTGAGTTCTAGTAATCCCAAAAATTAAAGAAAAAAAAAAACGATTTAGCGAGAAATACACACCCACTGGGATACATACACTGATATGGTTGGACTCGTTTTGAGTGGAATTTGACCAGGATGTGTTGATTACAGAATATAGCCACAGTAAGTTACAGCGCAATCTGATCTCTCTGTATATCCGATACAAAAGAAGTGTCTTACATCGAATACAGCGCAACCTTCACGAATTGGCCGGACACTATCTCCAACATAATCGAGAATATCAACTAACGTGACAGCCATATGAAACTAATCCGGAAATGAACTTTCGTAATTTGATAGCAGCGCGTTTTCAAAACATTAAATATATCACAAATTTTAATTATACCAACAAATGAAATGCATTAACCTTGCTTCAATCATGTTTTTCCTACTTGTAATTGCAATTTTTCACCCCAAATGAACATTATTTGATTGAAAATAAATGATTTTGTAATTGCTTCCATTTATTCTCAAGAGGAATTCAAACAAACACCATCCATCATCCACTAGTTCATATTCCCACGCATAGAGCTCGCATGTGCTGACATAGTTTTGTTGCAAGATGCCAATTGTATAGTGGACAGTTCAGTTCATAATTCTCACATTAGACTGCACGAGTGTACGATTTGACTTCCAATTACTTGCTTTAACTTAAAAGCTCAACAAGGTTGCTGTTTTTTTGGAAAAGTTATTCAGATTTAATTACAAGACCTTTGGATGATGGACAGTTTAGTTTAAAAAAATCGTCTTCAGGCGGCGCTAGTGTACCAAGTAACTTGCTGACTTTGGTAAATTTGTTCAGATGGACAAGACCTATTGGATTGTGCACAGTAGACTGATGCAAAATTTGAAATTTTCGCTCCACAGTGCTTAAACGGTTCCAAATTGGGTCCTGATAAGCCTCCCAAAATTTGAACTATACTTTAGTAAGAAACTGACTTGGCACAAACCATTTCAAGTTTATATGGGAATTACTATGGGAAAACTTATGTTTTTGTTCATATCTATCTAACAATTCACCACATCAATATGCTTTTAAAAATGATAGCAGTGATTGTAGCAAATTTTCTCAGCTACAACTTTGTTCAAAACTACTTTTCAATCAAATGTAAGGAACAAAAGTTATTAATGATACAAGTCACTGATGTCTTATTATTATGCTCAATCAACTGTTCAGCAGGCAACATTGGTGTTTCTAGTGCGAAGAATAGAGTACAAACATCATGGTTACTATGTCACACTGCAGAATACAGTGTTGCCCACAATACAGTTGCTTGATCATGTAATAAGATTATCAATCTCTTAAACAATTAATAACAATTTAATTTGACATTTGGCTGAAAAACAATTTTCTGCGAAGTTGTAGCTTAGAAAATTTCCCGTATGAATAGTTATATATAGAATTTTCAAAAAAGCAATATGGAAAATGGGTAGAAGACAATGAACAAAAAGCTTGGTTTTCCCATAGTAATTTCCATATAAACTTCGAATAGTTTGTGCCAAGTCAGTTTCTTACCAAATGAGTTTAAATTTTGGGAGGCTAATCAGGACCTGATTTGAAACCGTTTGAGCACTGTGGAGCGAAAATTTCAAATTTTGCATCAGTCTAGTGCACAGTTTAGTTCAGGATTATGTTACCAAGGATATTTTAAAGCGGTTTATTGTATCAAATGCATTTTAAATAGCGAATTTCCGCTCTGAAAAATAAACAATATTCAGTTACCGATAAGTGTCATGATTAAAATCCAGTGGGATAGAAACTGAATCTTGAATTTTGATAATTGAATATCCAATTTAGGATGTTTAATGTTGCCTAGATTCAAAACTTTGAACAATGTATTGAATCTTTGTTGATTTTTGAATTAATTTATAGCTCATTCATTTTTTAATCATGATTGAATTGAACCACAAAAAGAATATTGTAGTTCTTCGTCAAACATGCGGTCGTGTTTCGTACAAAATCCTTATATTTTTTAAATTTCTTGAAATGTTTCTGCACCAGTAGAAAGAGTCAGAGTAGATTTCAAGATTTTTTTTTTCAAAAACGCATGTAGGCATTATCACGACAGCTGGAAGGTTAAAATCCTCCAACATTACATTTGGTTTGCCGTCACGAGTAATCGGATGTTTGCGCTTCTTTCGTCTAGTCGACATGCGAAACGTTTTATTGTTCCATGTTTGTTTTTATACAGATAACCAAATTTATGCGTACATAAGATTCCCGGAGTTAGCAAATTATTTGTGAGTTCGTACGACTGTCCTCTCATTTCAAGGGAAGTCGTGAGCGCGTGATGTTCGTAAAATCAGAATGAATTCTTGGATTAACAACTGCCTGCTACTTTCCGTCGTTGCTGTTTGGCTGTGTCATGGTCTTACATTTGGTAATTTATGGTTGCTACAGGAGTCGTGAGGATGTTGAATTAAGTGTTTTGCTTTCTATCGATAGAGGAAAAAATTTACCTGCAACAACATCGAAGGTTGCCGTATATTTTTGAACTTTTGCAGAAGTATTCGTTATGGCCTCCGACACCATCGCTCGCGGATCCAATTCAGTATAATCCTGTAAATGGACCGAGCCCTTTCATTATTGGAGGAGACACAACGACCATAGAATCGTATCCTTATCAGCTGTCGTTAAGGAATGGCGGTGTTCATATATGTGGTGCTTCGATCATTTCGGACAAGTGGTCCCTGTCGGCCGCTCATTGTTTGGACGATGGCAGTTCACCTTCGTGGGTATGATAAATTTGTCAGCGATACATACGAGGGTAAGCTAATGAACAGATCTTTTTATTTTGTCTAGATAACGTTTCGTGGCGGTAGTCCTCATAGGTTAGTGGGAGGCTATATTTTTCATGCAGTGCGGTATATTCTCCATGAACAGTTTGATCCGCGGACGTTCAATTGCGATGTGGCAGTTATCGAGATTGCTGAGAACTTTTTCGTAGATTTTCTGCAACCGATTCCATTGACTGATGGCAATATTAAAGTGAGCTGCCCTAGTAACCTGGCAACGGTGATTGGATGGGGTACTGCTGCATATGATTATGTACCGTTGATACTTCAAGAGCTGCAAGTGTTAATTCAACCGGGCGAAGTGTGCAACAAAGTTTGGATCGAACAAGTTACCTCAAAGTGAGTATTAATGTAGATGGGCTTTTGATTATAGCTTCTAACCGAATTTACCGGGTTGGAAATTTTCTCTGCTACCCGGGTTAGTGTAGAGAACTACTTCACCATAAGCGCTAATGTTCGTTGTATAGAACTGAAACATCAACATTGATACGATAGTTTAGATCAAAAGCTACACAACAAAGTCTATCAGAACACAGAATATGAATATATACCTACATGCATTCATTCCAAAAACAATGAGGTGTTCTTATCAAAAAATCAAATCTCACAAAAATTAACAAGGAAACTACTGCGGTTGATATATCAAGCTGTGATATCGCAGCTCCGAATATCAAGCTAACAAAACACACCAGCTGGCAAATCTCTCCAAACTGTGGTAAGATTGAGTTTCATGATTTTTGCTTTACACCCGAACCCAACCGAAACTTCCATAACGGATAGCTTCGTGTTTGCCATCGGTGAAGAGAGAAAAGGGATATCAGTGCGAAACTGAACTTTTTGTCAGTGCGAACCTCAACCTGAGCTAGGTTTTAAAAACAAACGAACAAACTGACGTTTGTCAGAAAACAAGCAGACCCAATCTTGATACCCGATCCAGGTTGGAACTGAATAATAAACGAATTCGCTATAAGAAAACGAGGTGCAACTGAATCATGTTTGCGTCCATTCAACACATAGCTTCAACTTTACACATTGTGAATAGTCTCTCAATATCAAAGGAGCTTGTTAAATCAATTGATGATGGTCTGAAATCCAAAACCACAAAAGTGATGATGTAGGTAGGGGAAACGCTCCTATAGTTGCGGTACGTTAGAAGCGTTAGGTTCCTATAGTTGTGTACGGAGTCTCCATACACAACTATAGGAACCTAACCCTAGGGGAAACGCTCCTATAGTTGCGGTACGTTAGAAGCGTTAGGTTCCTATAGTTGTGTATGGAGTCTCCATACACAACTATAGGAACCTAACGCTTCTAACGTACCGCAACTATAGGAGCGTTTACCCTACTAACAAATATTCCATACGATTTGGAAGGTAGCAAAACGTTATTTTCATTTGCTCATAATTTCCATCTGCTGGTCGACCGTAACGTAGATTCATCAATATCAAGCATGATATTTTGCTCTAATATCACACGTGATAATGAGAGCGTATGAGAGCGGAAAAATATCAATTTGTTAACGATCATGCCATCACTCATCCCAACTTACAATTTTAACTGCAGATTAGTTTATACAGCCGAAAATTGACTTATACAGCTAATTGTTGCCTGTATAAGCTAGTCTGCAGCTGAAACTATTTGTTGGGATTGCAAGTTTTATATAGGTTTTAAAGCATTCTACAATTCTAAATCATGTTCAACAGAACTCTCATAAAACCAAAATTGTTTCTTGGGTAGCGAATCCATTTTTCTACCTTCATAGGGTAGAGCGCTACTTCGTCGCAATCGCCCATTTCCGTTCTATAGATCAGAAAAGATCAATAATATCAATGATTTCACCGTGCACAAATCAATAATATGTTTCTTCCGATGCGTTAGTTCATTAGCTACAACATAAACCCGGTTAGAGCGCATTGTATGAATATTTACGCTCATTGTTCTCAAAACAAAAGAAGCGCTCCCTGCGAATACCCTTTTTCTACGTTTATCCGTAGGACGAAGAAAATCTAATGGCGTTTCAATGCGTTAGGACGGAATTGAAACTCGTAGAACGAATTTAGAATCAAGAAGCAGTATTAGATTTTAAACAATATCTCAACAATTTGTGGCTTTTTATCAAGGAAAGGTGAATTAATTTAGAAGTCATCTTTGACAGAAAAATTCATTTTTAGTTTAAAATCGTTCAGAAAAGAGAGGTAAAGTGCGCGTTGTGCTTAGTAGGATGGAAATTAGATCAAAAACCCTATGTATGCCAAAGTAAATCCAATTTAATGTCGTTTCAATGTGTTTGAACGGGATTGAAACTAATATGACGGAATTGGACTCAAAAAGTAGTGTTCAATTTTTTAAAAAATCTCAGCATTTTGTGACTTTTTCTCAAATCTACGGTACACGTATGGAAAGGATCTGATCTGAGTGATAATTTTTAATTTTAGGTTATTTACGCGCTGTAAGGTGCGTGAAAGAGCTCGGCACGGTCGGTGTTGATGTTGGTTCGCTCGCAATTATTTTTGCAAAAAATTAAGTGTTTTCGTTTGAAATTGATCGAAAGTGTACCAAAAGTGCTTCTGAACGTGTTTCGCAGTTGGGTGTGGTGAAATTCGTGCATTCCCGGGTGATTTTCAGTGGAAATTCTGTATGACAAAATTGCTCACCAAGTTCCCTGCTGCCGGCGCTAGTATTGCCCAGTTTGAGATCACCAGTTTTTACACATTGAGGATGATTGCTAGTCCCAAGCATCGTCTATTGGTTCTCTGTGTAATTACAGCTGATCTGGCAATAACAAAGTACCAACCGTGGGTGGTCATTTATGCTCATGATCATGCTCAATCTAACGGTATGTATGGAAAGGTTAATACATTTAGAAGTCATCTTTGATAGAAACAATACTTTTGTAGTTTTAATCCGTTCTAAAAAGAGAGGTAAAGTGCGGGTTTTACTTTGCATGACGGAAATGAGATCTGAACCCTATATATAGAGTATACACACTTAGATTTTTTCGCTGAGATGGGCACCACCGAGCAGCACGGCATTTTATTTTGCTAGTTCTCAGTGAAAAACTTGCCGAGATTCAGTTAACAAACGGGAATTTTGCCGAGATCTCAGCTAACAAACATATTTTTTGCTGAATTTTCAGCAAAATAAAATGCCGAGCTGCTCGGTGGTGCCCATCTCGGCAAAAAAATCTAAGTGTGTAATTGAGCGTTTCACACAATATGCAACAGTGGAAGTGTACGGAAAGAATACCTTCGTAATTTTCAAAGAAGAGAAAGAGATTAGATAAAAGATTATGGATGTGTTAAGAATATCCTTCAAAAGACTGGTTAACCTTTTTTTTTAGATGGCCTATATTCCCATTGGGATTCAATAGTCTAAATTTCTACTTGATTGAGATTTAAAAGTGTATACAAGGGGGCGACCCCGGCGTAGTGGTTAACATCCTTACCTATCACGCCAATGTCACGAGTTCAAATCTCTCACCCCCGTGACTTGCAAAAGTGACTATAATAATAAAAAAAAAAGTGTATACAAAGTTTAGAAGCCCTATATCCGCTGTATAAAGCTATACAATTCTGAAATTATCAAGTCCTAATAGCTCCCATATCCCGCAACAATCAAAAAGGGCACCTTCGACTTTACAGTGAAGTGTTGATTCTATAGTAGAGTTTTTGTTTATTGAAATAAGTTGTTTATATTTTCATCTGCAAATATATAATTGTACTAATTTCCTAACATCGCTTCGTAAATCTATTTAAAATGTGTGATCATCAAACAATATTTTTCTTCTCTAAATTACAGCATGTTGTGTGCCGGTGGCGTCATCGGTCAGGATACTTGCAACGGCGACAGCGGAGGACCGCTAATATGCGATGGATACCAGATGGGAATCGTGTCCTGGGGATCCCAAACCTGCGCCATTGCAATGCCAGCAGTATTTACGAACGTATCCGATCCGAATATACGTGACTTCATACGGACACAAGCAGGTGTATGAGGTGGTAGTAGCATACCACCATTATCTCGACGAATAAATTTTAATCTTTTACAAATAGATACTTGCATAGGTTTACCGTAATTGGACGCGTAGTTTATTTACGTAGCTTTATTTTATCATCATTCATTAAAGTCTGTTGGAACTGTTTCTTTTGGTTTTATTACGTCCATACTTGGGATTTATGCCGGCTCTCAACATAGTGTTCTTTGAGCTTTCTACATTAATATGATTGTTGGGCAAGTATAATCATACTCTATGCCCAGAGAAGTAGAGAAATTTTCTAACCCGAAAAATTCCTAGACCGGACAGGAAATTACATCCAGCCGCCTCCAGCATGGTCTTGCTTTACCAACTGATCTAAGGGAGGTGGAACACGATCTAAAAATAAAAGAACAGATAATGACTGCGGATCTGCAGGATGAGTACAAACGGTTTTAGATAAGATTGTATAGCGTTAAAAAAATGATAAGAAACTTGACTTCACTGTAATTTACATCAGTCGTTCGTTGCGGTTAATGAACTGTTTACACTTATGTTGGATCACTAGCACAACCAGCTCAACCAACTGGCACGAATTTCAGTTCTTCATGAAATATGATGCTGGTATGCCCTGTTTACATTATGCTGGCTTCTTTTAAGTACAGTTCTAGTACACTAGCGCTAGTGAACCAGCGTATATTTTTTCTGTCATTTCATGGCAAAGACCTGTTGGTCCATATTTAACCAGCTGTATGTAAAGACCACATAAAGGAGGTTATTTGCAAAATGATAACTACCGTAGGTGGTGGTGACATTGGGACAAAAGAAAAAAAAAAAAAAAGTTCACTGCCTGACAATTAAAAAATAGATCAATGTAAAAACTTTTAGGGGATGTCATTGGGCCAAAACATAAATTTGGTTAAAATAACTTAAAATATGTAAATCTAACTTATCTATTAGGTAAGTACACTTGGTTCTGATCACAATGTACTTCGTATGTTTGGCTAAATGTCGCGTGTAACCCTCGTATATCCACATACAAGTGTGTTCAAACTTTTATTTGCATGTGGACATTTTAAAAACGTGTTTTTGCAAATTTTTATGATACCTCACTTTACAGCACTGTTTATATAAAACATCTGGTTAATGCTATGAACACTTTACTCCAGGAGTTCAAGGAACATATTCTAGTCAGCGTTGGTATAATAAACAAATAAAATGAGCTTATACATTGATTGTTTTCGTACGTAGCTTAGAAAACTACACAGTTCGAAAAAGTAGTGTAAATTTCGGTTCAATATGATGCACATAAATGGAGCGTCACATATCGTATAAGTTTACATTATAAATCATGTTAAGTTCTGAGACATTTCATGCAATGTAGTAAATATTGTATATACAAGCCCATTATTGTAAACAACATTGCTTACAAGTTGCTCTTTTGCGTGAAATGAAATTCAAGTTTACGTGAATGAATATCTACACACTTAGAAATAACAAATTTTACACGAGACGTAATCCATATTGGGCGTAAATCATGGAACGTAAACAAACATTTCATGTAAAATTAAGTGTTCTCAAATCGAAACATAGGCAAATCGGCGAAGAGAACGTTTCATTTAATTGATTTTCTAATTTATTTCAACGAATTCTTATGTCAAAATGGCCGCTTACATGTGTCGGTCTCGGGGAACCTAAATTTACATGACATTTTCGTAGTGTGTACATCACAATTAAAATTCAGATTTTTTTCTGTGTTTGTACAAAATTGGGTGTCCACTCAGATAAAAATTCTGAGTTTTAACTATGACGTGAAATCTCCCCTGGTTTAATTTTGAGCTATAGTTGGCATAAAAAACAAAATCGTTTACAACCTTGCATACAATATTACTAATTTATGCGGTATTGCGTACCGTGTAAATTTACGCCAAGTCTAGCGTTAGCTTTGTGTGCGCTTATGTATACTTATGTACTGACTGTCATAAAGGGACTTTAAAAAAAACATTTTCATCTAATTAAACACAATTCATCAAACTAAAACTACCGACCGATCACTTTGGGAGTCAACTAAGAACTGAGTGCCTGTTCTACTTACGACCATCTAACAACCTAATGTGATCTTAGGCAGACTGGGACATAACTATATATCACAGAAATTTACATGAATTTTTCAAACGGTGCGCAATTTGATTCTTTTCTGTCCGAAATCTTCTCAAAGACAAGTGTCCGAAGTTCGAATCGTGGAAGCCATTGTTAAATAACACTTTTTTTTCCGATGGCTCAATTGGATACTGCAGCAGTGTATCGAAGAAACGAAACTAAATCATATATATCCGTTTTCTGCAGCGCATGCCTTAAGTGTCCGAAATATGAATCAGGACGGTTTAAATGGTGAAATCAGCAGTCTACATAGCGTAAGGAATTTAACTGATTAATAGGCTTTGTGCACAAATTACGTAACGCATGGGAGTAAGGGTTTTTCTGTATCTTTAACATAATAAAAACTTTTGAATTGAGATTTTTATTCAATCATGAAAAATGGGGTTGGGTGTGATAGCGTTACATAATTGTTGGGGGGTGTCTTGTCAAGCGTTACTTATTGATACATGGGGGGGGGGGGGGGAGTTGGTTTCCGAAACCCAAATTTTTGCCATATGTAATTTGTGTACAGAACCTCATAATTTGTGAATCTATGGTAGATCAGCTGTAAGAAATAATATAAAGCTATCGTCACAGACAATCAGACATAACTCCCATGTTGTTCTTCGCATTTAATCGATCATTTATTTCCATAGTTGGTAGCACAGCTGGCTTTGGCACGCATAGTCGATTTCCTTGCGTTTGATGTTTACATACTACCGGTATCTGTCAAGCGTACTGCCCGTGACAGTGCACAGTTGTTTAAACCGCTAAAACGTGCGTTTTATTAATTAAGGCCTGTGTATATATCGAAGTGAAGTGAAAATCTCATACAAAATAAATTTTTAATCTGTGTGAAGATTGCAACTCGCAAATATTTCACTTCGCTTGGAACTGTAAATAAATACGATCCAGCGAAATCGAATTTTGTGGATCGTTTCATTTGCGCTTACGTTTATTTTTTTTCACGCATGCGGCTGCTCGTGAAAAAAGGAGCAGCAAACAAAGTTGACAAATGAACAACATTAACATGAATCCGGTAGACGATGTTCATTTGTCAACGTGTCACTCCCAACACAGTTTACCCATTTTTGGGTAGGTTCAGTTTTGACGGATCTGGGTGGATTCTACCAAAATTTGGGTAGTTTTTAAATAGCGTGAAGCGAAAAGTTGACGTTTCGAGAAGAGCTTATCTGTCAGATTTTCACTTCACCGGAGGTGTAAACTGATTGATTTTGTTTCACATGAACTGTAAACTCCGAAAAAAGGAAGCTGGCAAATGTTCCACAACCTTTTTCGCTAGGGAAACTTCATGATTTTTCGCTTGCTTCAACTTTCACTTCGCTTCCATATGTATACTAGACTTTATGTGAAAACGGATTAATACACTAATAAAATTCCACACATTATTATTGATGAATTTCCATGTAAAATTCTACATGATTTTCATGTGACCACACATAAACAGAATCCACCCAGAAGCTCACATGAAATTTATTAGTCAAATGAATAGTATGTGTGGTTACACATGACTTGTATGCGTATACATATTAAGTATGTTGATCACATTGCAAAAATACATGTGTGGGACACATAAAAACAATCTTTCAAATTTTATTAGTGTACAGTGCCTTTGGAGAAGTTTGTGTTCATGATTAGTTTGTACTTTTGAACCTAGCTTTTTCATGATTAATCCACCTAGCATGGAGATAGATAAATCAATTTACTAAAAAGTGGAGGTAGTAAATTGGTGTCTTTAATACAGTTTTAGATAATATTGAAACTTTTTTTTTGTAGAAGACATCAACTATTTTATCTTTTACAGTTTAAGGTTTTTGAATGGAGTCATCTAAAAATCAATGTTTTGTCGATACATTTTTGGTAGTGATTTCTTATCGTAACCCATCCTGTTGATGCTTTCGATTGAATTATCAAATTGCAGAATACAGGTTCATGACTTGCTCTAGATGTGTTTCTGGAACGCGATAGGCGTTGATTTCACTGACTGTTGCTTGATAGCTATGCCTGTGACTAAGGGAGGCACATATTGAATTTTATTATTTTCATTGTATTGTTCTACATTTTAGATGCAATTTTATTAAATTTTAATCCATGTTATTTTTCACTTCAACAGCATAATTCTTCATGGACCAACCATTGTTAAACTTCAAGGGGGAATAAACACTATCATTTTATTTATCATACCAATCCTATTGTGGTGGTGTAAATTCTACTTCAACAGTTTCAGTGAGATTGACGCGCGCTTCTTAACAAATCAGCGTGTAGGAAGCTTAATACGTATTGTGAATTGACTTATTCGATTTATTGGATTGTATCGTTGAAAGGCGATTCATAACTTCCCGTGGATTTCGCATAAGTGTCTCTGCTTACGGGTTTGCCTCTCCGTTTGTGGCCCTTCATACAGCGATATTGTGAATTCAGATAGGTAGCTCAAATTGATCTTGATATTAAATTGAGTTGCATACAAGACAAGATCTTCGAAGAGATGGTGGCTACCATCTATTACATGCATACAACTTTTTTGGTAGTGATTTCCCATCATTTATTTATTTATTTATTTGTCAGCATCAACAGACTCGATATGGTACCAATGATGGTTTAACTTAAAATTAAAATTAAAGTCATAAGTTAAAACTTCAAAACATTAAAGTCCGAAGTGTTAGTCGTGGCAGGTGAAAATCGAATACTGATGAAACTCGGTTAAATACTCGCTGCAGTCCACCTATTGCACCGTTGATTGCATAGTTTGTCCTACGTAGTGGCATTCTCAGCATAACATTGTTACGAAGCATTCGGGGTTGGACGTTAATGTTTACTTGCTCCAAGATTGCCATGCAATCAATTCTGCAATGTAACGTGTCCGCGACAAGCAGGGCTTTTGAAGTATTTCTTCTGGTGCGAAGAGGCTCCAAGTCAATCAGCTGGCAGCGACTTTCATAGCTGGGCAAATGAAACGGATCTCTCCAAGGTAACATTCTCATGAGCGGGATATGAGCGAAACCATCTCAAGAGATTTCCGCTAATCCCAAGTCTATCCAATTTGGCGATCGCGATGGCGTGATTTATCTTATCGAAGGCAGCAGACAAGTCAGTGTAGATGACGTTTGTTTGTGACCTTTCAACCATACTTTGCGTGATGTACGATGTCAGACACAGTAGATTCGTGGTAGTAGATTGACCAGAGGTGAAGCCATGTTTATCTTCACTTAGATACTGCTTGCAATGGGAGAGCAGAGTCATCAATATGCTCCTCAAACTTTTTTTATATTTACGTCATTTTGTCTTTGGAAGTATGTTTCTATATATTTATATTCTAAGACTAACATTTTAAAGTAGGGCAAAATTGGGCAAACCATTGCATTTGAAAGAAGACCTAAAGCGCTGTCAGATCCATATAATATCATTAGTTTTCAATAGTTTTCTTCACCGATATGCTATTGGAAATTGGATTGGAAACCGAAAACAGAATATTTGCTTGCCAAAAACTCACACATTGATCTATATTGTCCGTATCTGAGATTTATTTAGTTGGAAAAACCACAAGAAACAACTTTATCAAAGATCGACTACTGTGTAAAATGTATAAACCATTTGCCAAGTGCTTTGTCAATACCAACAGGCGTATATGAGACCAGCAAGCTTGCGCCTTTGGGGGCCATTAAAGGGAGCACATTAAATGATTAATAACTTTCTGCACACAAGGCGAACCAATACACAGTCTTGGATAAATTTGTTTTGTATGTTTTGGTTTGTCGAATCTAAGTCTCAAATATGGGCGATTTTGAGAAATGTGGGATTTTGAATGAATATTTTCTATCGGTTCCCAATTCATTTTCTTATACTTTCACAATATGTATATTGGTGGAGAAAACTTTAAAAGATAATGGTTTTCAGTGAAAATATTCAATGCGTTACGTCTGATTTTCTGTACTATGGCTGTAAGAATTACCATATAAAATCACCATGGACTACAAAATTGTGAGTTGATAACCTGGAAGGAGCGGAATACCCCTTTCCAACGGGGGAAGGGAGATGATCAAACCGATTTTTACCTTTCTAAAGTTGTCCTTGCTCGCTTTCTACTCTCTATATGGAATTTTCACACTGCCGTACTCTGACGGAACTATCAATTCTATACTTTCATCTCCTCATCTATGATGATGATGATGGTCCCACCTCTTACCCCTACAAAGGTTTGAGCTGGACGATTTATCTTTAAGATAATTAAATATGACATTTTAACCAGGTTGGCAAACAAAATCGAACTGGTTTCAGTTACAGATATAAATTCCCTCTAGAGTTTACAGTTGCTTCACAGCGATATAAATGTTGAAAAGCTCAGGCGTTCACCTCTTAGTTCGCCTTTTTGTCCACCTAAAATATTCATAAGTATTACAAGCAATCAGGAGTTAATGAACAATCAACAAAGCATCCTATTACACTAGTAACCCCGCAATCTGATGCTATCATAATTTTCAGCAATGTCAGGAATGCTCACGAACCCCCAACATTTGCCAGAAAACTTACTACTAACTCAAGGTATCTTCCAAATAAGCTTCAAAATTGCATTTTTGTTTTTATCAAATGTTAAATTCAGTCCTCTATATCCGTAATACGCGCGCGAGGCTCAAACCTTTGTAGACTACTATTTTTTTTTTACTACTACTATTAAATCATATATCAAAAATCCATCATCACCATCGTGGCGAACAAAATAGTTTTTGCAGTGCTACAATAATTATTAAAAAGTCGTTATAACAGCTATCCATACAAAGTAATCCGTTAAAAATAACTTCGTCAAGATACATAATTTGTCAATTCATAAAAAAAAAATCACTGGATAACCGTTCAAAAGACAGTTTTAACGTGTGAAATGCAATGTCTCTTAAATTCTGCTAATGTTGTTGAACGTTTAATGTGTCTAGGCATCGAATTGAAAACATTTATTCCTTTAAAAAATAATGAATTCTGTGAAGCACAAGTCAAGAAATGTGGTGTTCTTATTTCATCCGCGTTTCTAGTATTATATCTATGAAAGTCACTTCCTCTTTCAATTCGATCACACAAATATCGAGGCAGCAAACCGTTAACTACTTTAAAAATGAACACCATAGTCAAATATACAATTCTTTGCTTCACCGACAACCATTGTAAGGCGTCTAGCATCAAAGTTGAGGAAGTGAATCTCTAAAACTTCAACAAAACGCTGGTCACTAGAACTGGGAGAATGATACAAAACACCATAATTACCCATCTTCATGCCACGTACAACTGTAATGCCCAAGAACCAGTTGCCATCAATAACTTCGTTGGTACGAAGGTTGAATTTAACTGATTCTTTGACATAAATAGCAACACCGCCAGTGTGTCTAGAATGTGATAAACAAGCAGCAACAATATATCCCGGAATACTATACTGATCAAAAGCTTCAGTTTCTACAATATGAGTTTCAGATAATAAAACTAAAAGAGGACGTTTTTCCTCAACAATCTGACGTAATGCTACGTAGTTTGTTGACAACCCCGCAATATTCAAATATAAAAAATCGAATTGATTCACATTCCTGGAACTTGGCTGCTATTTATTGAAACGCAAGCTGCTTTTCTTCTGATCAAAAAGTCTTTTATAGAGCAAACATTCCGAGCTAAATGCGGCATGGTTGACGTCCAAGTTCATTTTTCGTTCTTTATTCATTTTCAAACAATTAATACATTTCAATACAGTTGACGTACACTCCGACGTTTTGTGTTGTTGGCTGCACCTAGAGCATCTATCACAATTTTTGCAATCCATGCTCTTGTGCCCAAATTCTCCACATTTGAAGCATCTCAACACATTAATCGCGGGAACTATCGAGCACCGATCAAACCCTACATTTACTTTTTTCGCACATAACAAACATTTATAAGTATCGACATCGACTTCAATTACAACACTAAACTTGTTATAAGTGAAGCATGGATTTTCAAACATGTTCACTACTTTTACATCATTAATTGCGATGTCTTCATTTTGACTTTTTAAGTAGTCAATAAAGACATCGGAGGAAAACTGATCGCTCATGCCCACTATTTTCAATCTTGGCACCGAAGTGGGAACAACAGCACTATATTTTTCACCCAGATTGCTTTCAATACCATTTTTCACATCACTTACGTTTGCTCCTGTTGCACACTCAACAATAATGGAGCCATCTTTACCATTCCTAAAATTACTGATTTTGTGTGTTTTTGGATCCAACTGAGTTTTCAAAAACTTACGAGTATCTTCGCAAGGTTGTTTGGACTCTTTCGGTTTAATCACAATGACCGGACGAGTCTTACGATTTTCTGGTTTGTTACTTTTACTATTACTGTTACTATTAGTTTTACTTTGACTAATACGACTATGTCTTTTTACAACATCCGCAAAACTCGCATTTTCTTGAAAAACAACATCATCATCATGATCACTATTACTAATTACTAATTTACGTTTTTTGCGTCTGGTATTTTTGTCCGATTCCGACTGAATCGTCCTAGATGAACTGCACGGATCATTCTTTACAGCTAATTGGTTTTCCGCATCAATTTTAAAAAATGAACTTTTCATATTATCCAATTTCTCACAAATCAAATTTTCAAGACCATTTACATTTATTCTAATATCTTCCATCCCGCTTTTAACCGCGATGTCCACCTGAGCAGCAATGTGATCTCGCATGCCAGTGATCGAGTCCGAGAGTTGAAAAACCTTCTTCATCTCTTCCTCTATCCTTTTGACGCGCGAGATCAGATCATTCTGCTCGTCACAACTCTGATCTGATAGACAACTATCACACTTGAACAGAATATTTGCATTATCTGCTATAAGCCTGGCCGCAGTCTTAGTGAGTGCCGCACAAGCGAAATGGAACGTTCCATTGCACGGACCTACACACGTAACTGGGAGCCCACTCATAGCAATAGACTGCTCGCATACATTACACACATCCATTCTACCAAATTAAACGCTAACACTGTTAGCAGCAGACATATACAGGGGAGGAGAACACAAAATAAAATTTTACCGCCACAGCTCACTATACAAATCAATAGCGCGCCGGGGGGAAAATACAAAATTAAACAAAAACTAGTTGCTAGGCAACCTTTCCTCTACTTATCCTGTTAGAAAAACACCACGGGCACGCGTTGGAATAATCCTTTCGCGGCACACGCCACTATTTCACACGAAATTATTAATTTATTTTCACAGCACAACTCAACAAAAACACTACTTTGTACGCCATACTATACTTCTGTCTATCTACTATCTACTTCTACTATCTATCGTATAAAAAGTACCACTTTAGTCTGTTATTTGAAATTAGCATCTTCAACTATGAGGTACAGTAAAATAAACGCTATCAAATAAGCCCATCAGAACGGGCTCCGCTTCCAGTGGTTTCCTTATATGGCAGTATCGCCAACGGGGGGCAGAGCGCCTCCATTGCAGCAATGGGCGCAAAACGTTGTCATCACTCTGATGAGTGTGTGAAACGGTTTCTTTCCCTAGTCGATGACGCATCGACCGAAAGACCTGCTGATGAAGAACAATGAGAAGAACCACACAATGGTTGCTGTCGAGTAAACAGACGATCGCGTGACATATATTGAGAGTGGCTTGCTCCTGTCGACAGCCGAGTGAACACTGAGCTGGCAAGTTGTTGCGATCTGTTTCGAGCTCTCATTGCTAATGTACTGAAATATTTGATAAAGCAGTATTTAATTAATTTTACTTAATTTATTGGTAATAAGAACCACAGAAACGAAAACCAGAATCCAAAGTTAGCTGTGCTGTGGCTGGAACAATGTGTTATCTTCCGGAACTTCAATATTCACTTTTGAGCAACAGAAAAGAGACTGGACTTAAAAATGCATTTATACCTTCATAGCTTCAAAATAAACAACGTAATTTTTGTGACAATTTAAAACAACTAATCTATTTATGCAAAGGATATCAGAAATTTAACAAAACAAACCATCTTTAAATAGGTGGTCTGCCGAATCTGAAAGAGTAATATTTTAATTGTGTAATTAAAAGTTATGTTAGACAGTGTGCATTGTTTGCAGTTTTTCGTGTTTATATATGTACTACGTGCAATTAAACCAATATCCAATAGCCAATTACACCATGGTAGTACGTTTGATGAAATTCCTAACCGCTGGATGTGCAATATTCGTGTAAACCCCCGGTAGCCCACTACCGCAGATTGTGCCACCCCAGGATACTATGCCATACTGGATACCATTCTGAACGGCGGGTCCTCCACTGTCGCCGTCGCACGAATCAATTCCTACATCGCCGGCACATATCATACTGAAACGATTGACATCATAAATCGATAGTAATTAAGATCATAAAGCGTCATACTCTTCCATTATCAGTCCATTCCATTTAGCATTGCACGTGGTACGATCCACAACAGGGATCACTACCTTGAATAGGGTGTCCGGTATGATGCCTTGTGCATTTTTACCCCATCCGGTAATGATTACGTCTCCGTTGATCCACTCTGAACTAGTTAGTGGCACAATTGCGCGTGCAGCTCCACTAAATGGCAATCGAACTCGAACAGTTGCAACATCCCATGGATAATCAGTTGGAAGGTACTCTTCATGAATGTGATAATAGTATATTGGGTGAATGGTTCCCCCAGTTGTACGGGATGAGCTACCTGAGCGTATCGATATCTGAAAAATAGTCCTGCTCAAAAATAGAATTCTTTTTAAGCAACTGTACCTTCCTACATCCATGTTCTGTGGACCCCAATCAAGGCAGTGAGCTGCGGTAAGAACCCACGAATCGGAAATTATTGATCCACCGCAAATATGCACTTTCGTATACAGCAAGGAAATGTGATATGGATTATCTTCGATAGTTGTTTCTTCACCCCCGACTATTCGACGGCTGTCGTCCATACCACTTTTTCTAAGATGCACCTCATTTGTAACTCGAGATACGACATTCTGTAAGGCCGATGGAAGACGATTCACGCGAGCCAACACCTCTTCGACGGTTAGTTCTGTCAAATACAAATGAATTGCATGAATTGTGGGGACATTTTGTAGCGAACATTCACTTACGATTCTCTGCAGTTACTAATATCATAAGTGACAGCACAATAAACGCAGAATACTTCATGGTTACAGAACAAAAACTCCCACTCAAGTATCTAAGTCAAACTAGCGCGCTCAATTGCCGCACTTGGACTAAGCTTCAATTACTTCATGTATTACGTCTTTTATTCGATAATTTCTACCGACAAAGGATTGACCCATTGGAGTCCAATGTTATGTTTCGAGAACTTGACTGATTGGCAAGGCGTGGTAATGCAAGAGCAGTGCTTATATTATTTTCTAATCTTATCATGGGTAGAAATAATAGAGCTAATAAACTATAGAGGAAGAATAGCGCTGCCGTCGCTGTCGAAACATCTTTTCCTTACATCTAATATGGACACAACTGCCAAAGTGCGAAAAAACTATGCAGTTTGACAGTTCTGTACCCGGTATTATTCAACATCAGAACAAAGGGAACACCAGCGCTATTCTTCCTCTATAGAACCCGTATTGATATGGGTTAAAAAGTATCGTACCTTCAAGTGCTGTGTTTACTTTCATCTAGTGTGATAAGACCAAGGGCAAAGATGGCCAAAACAAGTGTTAGGAGCTTTATGGCAAAGTCTACTTGGAGGCGCTAAAGTACGAGTGTTCGACAAGTTTCGGCGATTATGATTTCTAAATCAGAAGACAGACGATGAATGTTGTTTCAGCAACAAGTTTTTGCGAGTGAATATGCAATATGCTATCCTTCACCCTTCAAACGAAGGAACGTTTTATCGGCGTTATTTCCATGTTAAAAAACCCTGAGATCAGTAACAAGCGATTCAATATCGAACTTGGTCACTGAAATGCTGATCACATTGCACACTGGGGCTCCACCTCACATCCTAGAGGTTTGGTGTCTTGAGCAAAGTTAGACAAGGGCTTACTTTCGACATAATTAGTATATTTCCAGATCACGTCGTTCAGATGGCGCTACAATTATCTTTTTACAAAACATCCTAGCATAAAACTTTTGTTTCAAGTTTTTGCAACTAAACAAACAACCTAAAATTTGGATCAAACCCGCGATTTTTTCGCTATAGATTTTTTACGTCTTAAACACAAATAATGTTCTGAGAAAGATATGCAGTGTTATGAACATTCGTAATGAAATACCTACTTTATTTGATGATTTTATTACGCATTTGGTCAAAATAACGAAAAAAATCATATTAACTTCTGTGTACCATAAATCGAAAAGGAGTAAAAATAAACAATAACTCACTGAGAATATAACCAATCAAATCAAGACAACATCGAGTTACCCGATCAAAATGTAATTTTTACATGATTTTAAGCTATTTTCTACGAAGTGTAGCAAAAAAGCCTTGCGTTAACCGGTCCAGTTCTCTTTAGGATAGTTATTGGAAAACATTGAAGAGCAGAGCTGAAATGGGCCTCCCCTTTTTTGCCCCTTTTGGATTTATGGTACGCAGAAGTTTATATGATTTTTTTAAACTATATTGACCAAATGTGTTATAAAATCATCAAATAAAATAGGTACATATTTCGTTGGGAATGTTATAGTTATCGCTCAGCTTCTGAGACGTGCAGACGTTTTTCTCGATTGCGCTTATCACTAGTGAAGCATTTACGTTTTGGATACCCTTCTATCCGCTGCGCCGCGTCGCGTGCAAAAGTGTTTCGCGATGAGGCGAGAAAACACTTTTAAGATTGACTATTCGCAGTTCTCCGTCAAGCCGTCGGTCGAAAAACTCTATGGTTTTTGTCGTTCGGTTCTCGGTCTAAATAGGGAAGACATTAAAAGACTTCAGTGCCACAGAGGTGGAGCATGTGCCTTCGTCAAAGTCAGTGACTTGACGCTGGCACAAAAAGTCGTTGACGAACATGACGGGAAGCATGAAGTGGAGTGTGAGGGGAAGAAACACAAGCTTCGGATCACGTTGGAAGATGGTAGTGTTGAAGTGCGGGTTTACGACCTTCCCGAATATGTGTCTGAAGAGAAAATCTTTAGTTTCCTAAGTGCGTTCGGGGAAGTGATCTCAGTTCACGAGGTATCGTGGGGTGAGAGTAACGAATGTGAAGGCATACCGCTCGGCATATGGTCTGCTCGTATGCTAGTGAAGCGGAACATTGACTCGTGGGTCACCGTCGATGGAGAGCAAGCGTTCGTTGTTTACAAGGGACAGCTGCAATCCTGCCGCCACTGCAAAGAGCAAGCGCACACTGGCATATCATGTGTCCAGAACAAAAAGCTACTGTACCAGAAAAGCTACGCGAATGTCACGAAGCAAACTGGACAGGCCAATAGGTCAACAGCCGGTCAGCAACCCAAAAAAGCTGGTGCGAAACCACCAAACACGAAACTAGTCGGTCAAAAATCCACTACTCCGCCATCGTTAGAGTCAGACGTTTTCCCCGAACTGCCGAAGAGCCAGAGTGAATTCTCAGGCCCGAAAACACACACACGCAGCCAGCCTGCAGCAGGGTCTGCGCAAGTACAACGAACGCACAATGTGTCAAGTTCGTTCCTAACACCACCACAAGCTGTCGTGGCTTTGGATGACGTGTTCAAAAAGCCAGAAAATGCGCTGCGATCGCAGAGCAGAAGTGGCAACGGGAACGAAACCGATGAATCCTCCGCTTCCACGAGCAGTAGACGAAGCCGAGGAAAACCAGCCGGCAAAAAACCCCGCCGGGATGACGACGACGACGAGAGGGACGAGGACAATCGCTTATAAATGGCTCTCACGTCGTACAACATCTCGTCCATCAACATCGGCACCATCACGAACCCCACGAAACTGAACGCGCTCCGAAGCTTCATAAACAGCCATAGCCTCGATATCGTGTGTCTACAAGAAGTAGAGAACGAGCAGCTCTCCTTGCCTGGCTACGTCGTTTTCTTCAATGTGGACCATACGAGAAGGGGAACAGCTATTGCCCTGAAGGAACACATCCAGGCCACTCACATCGAGAGAAGCTTGGACGGCCGACTGCTTGCGCTGAGAGTGCAAGACACAACGATCTGTAATGTTTACGCTCCCTCCGGCTCTTCGCTACGTGCAGCTCGGGAGAACTTTTTCAATGGGACGCTTGCCTACTATCTCCGCCATCGTACCACGCATGTCATTCTGGCCGGCGATTTCAATTGCGTGCTTCGAACAAGTGATTCTAGCAGCCCAAACACTAGTCCCGCCCTCAAAACAGCCGTCCAGCAACTGCAGCTCCACGACGTATGGGAGAAACTGTGTCCGCGTGATCCAGGTTTCACGTACGTCTGCCGTAACGCACAGTCGCGACTCGATCGTATTTACGTCAGCAGTGATTTGCGCGATCACCTGCGAGCAGCACATGCACACGTCTGCTCATTTACCGACCACAAAGCGCTGGTACTCCGACTTTGTCTCCCCCATCTTGGTCAAGAGCATGGCCGTGGATTTTGGTCCCTTCGGCCCTATCTTCTGAGTGACGAGAACGTTGCCGAGTTCCAATACCAGTGGCAATATTGGACCCGGCAGCGCAGAAACTATGGCTCCTGGATCGAATGGTGGATTTTGTTCGCTAAGCCCAAGATCAAATGCTTTTTCAAGTGGAAATCTCGAGCCGTCTTCGATGAATTCCACAGTGAACATCAGTATCTCTACAGCGAGCTTCGGTTAGCCTACGACGGGTACTACCAGCACCCTGAAATGATAACCACCATAAACCGGTTGAAAGGTGAAATGCTAGCACTTCAACGGAGATTTTCCTACACGTTCATGCGAATGAATGAAACACATGTGGCGGGAGAACCCATGTCAATATTCCAATTGGGGGAGAGGCGAAGGAAGAGAACCGTCATCACGCAGCTGCAGACAGAGCAAGACGAAACGGTAGCAGAGCCACGAGCGATCGAGACGCATATGATGGACTACTTCTCGACGCTGTACTCGGAGGAGGAAACAGAAGAGAATGAGAACAGTTTCGTCTGCGAGAGTGTTATCCCACCCAACGACCCATCGAATGAAGCCTGCACGGACGACATTACGACGGCAGAAATCTGGTCTGCAATAAAAGCGAGCGCCCCACGAAAATCTCCCGGCTGCGATGGTATTCCGAGAGAGTTCTACCACCGCATGTTCGACGTCATCCACCGAGAGTTGAATCTGTTGCTGAATGAAGCACTCAGCGGTAATCTTCCTCCAGCGTTTGTCGATGGCATCATCGTGCTGGTTAAGAAGAGAGGCGGCGACGACACAGCCCGTTCATATCGTCCGATCTCGCTGCTCAACAGCGACTACAAGCTTCTTCTCCCGCATTCTCAAAACCAGACTCGAGCAAGTGATGAGAGAGCACCACGTCTTGAGCGACGGGCAGAAATGCTCCAACTCAGAGCACAACATATTTCAAGCCACTCTTGCTCTCAAGGACCGGATAGCACATCTCCGCCACCACCGCCGTGTCGGGAAGTTAATCAGCTTTGATCTCGATCACGCTTTCGATCGGGTCCGGCACTCTTTTCTCTTCGAAACCATGCGCTCGCTCGGCTTCAACCAGGATCTCATCGCTCTACTCTCGCGAATCGCCAGCCGGTCCACCTCTCGGCTGTTGATCAATGGGCACCTTTCTCGTCCGTTCGAAATTCAACGCTCTGTACGGCAAGGGGATCCGCTATCAATGCATCTCTTCGTTCTTTACCTGCATCCACTAGTGTGCAGACTCGAAAGAGTGTGCGGGAATGATCTGCTAGTGGCGTATGCGGACGACATCAGTGTGATCGTCACATCGACCAGGCAAATCGATGAGATAAATAGGCTGTTCACTCGTTTCGAGAGAGCTGCTGGCGCAAAATTAAATTTGCGGAAAACTGTTGCCGTCGATGTTGGCCTTTGCGAAGGCAACAGAATCAACACTCAGTGGCTACAAACAGTCAATGTAGTTAAAATTCTGGGTGTTGTTTTCGCAAATTCAATACGACTGATGACAACGATGAACTGGAATGCGCTAGTGGGGAAGTTCGCACAACAAATGTGGCTGCATTCTCTGCGCACGCTGACGCTGCACCAAAGGGTCATCATGCTCAACACGTTCGGAACGTCCAGGATATGGTACCTCGCGTCCATACTACCGCCGTTGGGAGTGCATACGGCAAAAATCACATCAGCAATGGGTACGTTCCTCTGGAGAGGGACTGTCGCCCGTGTCCCAATGATGCAGCTGGCACGCAGCAGAGAGAATGGAGGCCTGAAGCTGCAATTACCAGCTCTGAAATGTAAGTCA